GGGAGGGTGTGACAGGGTTGCTTTAACCCTTAGGAAGTAAGAAGTGAGTGAAGGCCTACAGGACGCACTGCATAAGCAGAAGGCCTAGGTAGTGAAGGCCTACAAAATGCACTGCATAAGCAGAAACTCATGCAGATCTGGTCCGGATTTGTTGTGAACAAGCCCTCAGTGCTCCATTCACACATAGCGGCCCACTGACTCCAATGATATGGGGCTTATTTTACTCTCACTGACTCCAATACCGTGGGACTTATTTTACTCCCGACGCCAATACCATGGGGCTTATTTTACTCCATCTGACGCCAATATCATGGGGCTTATTTTACTCCCAATGACACCAATACCATGGGGCTTATTTTACTCCATCTGACACCAATACCATGGGGCATACTTTACTCCCATTGACAACAATACCATGGGGCTTATTTAACTCCCACTGACACCAATGATATGAGATTATTTTACTCCCACAGACAGCAATACCATGGGGTTTATTTTACTCGCACTGATTCCAATACCTTGGGGCTTATTTTACTCCCACTGACGCCAATACGATGGGGATTATTTTACTCCCACTGATGCCAATACGATGGGGATTATTTTATTCCCACTGACACCAACACCATTGGGCTTATTTTAATCCCACTGACACCATGATGTGGGGCCTATTTCACTCCCACTGACTCCAAGACCATGGGGCTTATTTTACTCCCACTGACTCCAAGACCATGGGGCTTATTTTACTCCCACTGACACCATGATGTGGGGCCTATTTCACTCCCACTGACTCCAAGACCACGGGGCTTATTTCAACCTCCACTGACTCCAAGACCATGGGGCTTATTTTACTCCCACTGACTCCAAGACCATGGGGCTAATTTTTCTCCCACTGACGCCAATACCATGGGGCATATTTTACTCCCACTGACACCAATACCATGGGGCTTATTTTACTCCCACTGATACCAATACCATGGGGCTTAGTTTACTCCCACTGATACCAATACCATGGGACTTATTTTACTCCCACTGACACCAATGATATGGGACTTATTTTACTCCCACTGACACCAATGATATGAGCTTATTTTACTCCCACTGACACCAATACCATGGGGCTTATTTTAATCCCACTGACACCAATGATATAGGGCTTATTTTACTCCCACTGACACCAATGATATGGGGCTTATTTTATTCCCACTGACGCCAATACACACCAATACCATGGGGCTTATTTTACTCCCACTGATACCAATACCATGGGGCTTAGTTTACTCCCACTGATACCAATACCATGGGACTTATTTTACTCCCACTGACACCAATGATATGGGACTTATTTTACTCCCACTGACACCAATGATATGAGCTTATTTTACTCCCACTGACACCAATACCATGGGGCTTATTTTAATCCCACTGACACCAATGATATAGGGCTTATTTTACTCCCACTGACACCAATGATATGGGGCTTATTTTATTCCCACTGACGCCAATACAATGGGGCTTATTTTACTCCCACTGATGCCAATACCATAGGGCTTACTTTACTCCAACTGACACCAATGATATGGGGCTTATTTTACTCCCACTGACGCCAATACCATGGGACTTATTTTACTCCCACTGATGCCAATACCATAGGGCTTATTTTACTCCCACTGACACCAATGATGTAGGGCTTATTTTACTCCCACTGACACCAATGATATGAGCTTATTTTACTCCCACTGACGCCAATACCATGGGGCATACTTTACTCCCACTGACACCAATACCATGGGGCTTATTTTACTCCCACTGACGCCAATACCATGGGGCTTATTTTAATCCCACTGACACCAATACCATGGGTCTTATTTTACTCCCACTGACGCCAATACCATGGGGCTTATTTTACTCTCACTGATATTGGTGTCAGTGGGAGAAAAATAAGCCCCATGGTATTGGTATCAGTGGGAGTAAAATTAGCCCCATGGTATTGGCGTCAGTGGGAGTAAAATAATACATGTAGTCAAGAACCAGCTGCACTCCTTACCGGAATAGTAGTAAACCTGCCAAGCAGGTACCCATCTGCTTGGCAGCTTTACTACTATTCCGGTAAGGGCGAGGAACTGTAGTGACCACGGACTGCCCCGTGAACAATGCAGATCTAGAAAAGATTGTCACCAGCACACCAAAAGTTTTTAAGCAAAAAGTCCTTTATTAACAAATCGCCATCCAATACAAGCGCTTTCGGGGTCTCAGCAGTACCCCTTCATCAGGCTCAGAATGACACAGTAAAGAAAACCATCACCTTTAAATAGACATACCAGTGCATATTAAAAACAGACCACTCCCACCAGTTGCAGCTGGAAAACCGTATATTCCCACCATTCTGCACTCAAATGAGGCTCACCTGTAATCCACTAATGTACACAGCGAGTTGTAATGATATGGCCGTTAGCTGGAAGTAACATCAGCTGGTTGCCTAGGGTACAGGACGCTGGCATGCACAGTGGACAAGAAGCGAACTGCAGTCATAATCTGATTGAGCGCGGCAACAGTGCAGGTAAAAGACATTCCCCATTAACAATCCACATTAGGATAAGATTATGCTGACATTGGTGGTGCACATATAAGCCCACAGGAGTAAACATGTGAAGCATATTCATATAGGGACACATCATTTAACGTTGTATTGATATATAATCGCACAAAA